CCTGCTGCCAAATTCAAATTCAGAAGGATTAAACTTCGCCAAATTAGACTAGAATTTCTCTCTTGCCATGACTGGCAAAACGTTGCCACTATAACTCCAGGCTTTCCACAAAGAGAGAAATGCAGCACTGATTAATTTCTCCCAGCACGCTGGTTTTACCGAATCGGACCATCTCCTGGGTGAAGCACAGGTTTGGCTTCCACGATGTGTGGCACTTGCATTTTTCTGCCAGCTGGGCGTAACCGGTTGTCCTTACAGGTTAGATAACCCAAGCACCAACTAGATTATGCTGTTGATGAAGTCTTCCATCACAGGCATGAGAAACAACGTTCCTGATTATTCTCCTGAGTCGGAGGGATATTACAGCACTCTTAGCAACTGCAGGGCTTTGCCATAGTGTCTTTGGCATAATGTCCTCTGTTGTCACCGACACATGCCAGCTGTGCCTGCATTTCAGCAGCATTTATGCATGTGAAGTACTTGGGGATCCCTCGGGAAGCAGGGAGAGGATGAATATTTAAAAGTATTTTCTTATACTTCAGAAGCACAAAGGGTATCCATTGAAAACATGTCCTTTGTAGATATTGTTAACGGCAAGGACCTCCAAACAGACTCTTATGCAGAGTGCAGGTTACTGCAAAAAGATTTCCTGCCACGTATTGCTGAAGTTCACTTCGCTAGCAGTGCCACTGCCAACTGCTATAGACCAAGGCACTTCCCTTGACACCTGCAGGGCTCCTGGATCTCAGCTTGCAAGGGGCCACCTGTGTCACGGGCTGCCTCCCACTCCCAGCCTCCATGGAACCTGCCCGCTGGCTCCAGACACTTGGCAGGAATGGAGATCTGGAAAGGGGGTTTCATGCCTTCCTGATGTCCCCAAATCTGGAATTCTGTCTAAAATAACACATATCCTCTTTACAGTGTTGAATGAGTGGGAGAGACAAGCGAGCCCCTCGCAGGATGGTTTGGGAGAAGAACCGTGCTTCCTAGGGACGGCGGCAGGCGGGATGGGCCGGCTGGGGCTTCCCGCTGCACTCGGCTGGGCTGAGAGGGCCGCCTAGCGAGGCGGCTACGCACGGCGGAGAGGGGGACAGACCCAGCTGCCCTTCTGCATGGAAAAAAACGGAAAAAAAGAAAAAAGCTGCTTGCCCTCGACACAAGGATCAGAAGCAAAATCTGTGTGTTCAAACTCGTGGTTGCTGCCCCTCATTAGAGTTGTTCTGTCACCCTAATAAACAGCATATGGGAAATCTGGAGATTATGTTTTGCCAAAAAAAAAGCAAAAATAGCAAAATTTTCATGGCAGGAATGGTATATTCTACAGAAATATGCTATAAGGAGTACATTGGGGACGCAGTGGTAAAACATGCGGCCTTCTTCCATTTTTTTGTGAAAATATGTCAAAAATGCATAAATTTGCAATGAAAAACCCATGCAGTAGCACCTGGTACCCTCTCTGGCAAGACGACTACAAGTCAGATGTGCTTTCAAGGCAAAACCAGCCACAAGGGAGAGTGTGGAAGCTCACTGCCCTCACCACCATTCCTGAAGGGCCTGCGTCTGAGATGCCGTATCATGGGGGCTCCAAAATACCCTTCTGGAGAGAGGAAGAGGTGACAAATGGCACAGGGAGGGAAACGAAGAGCTTCCATCGCTTTGCTTCCACAGTCACTCTCAGCACAGCACTCTGTAGCAGCTGTTTTTGGTCTGCTTTTCATTCTGTTCCTTCAGTCAGCACCCCCACGCAGAGATATCCCCTTTGATTTCTTGCCCTTCATAGCTCTCTACTATAAGAGGCATCAGTGGAAGAAGAGGGTAGAGGAAGCTTTTAGAGTTGGGAGAGATGCCTTATCACCACATGAGAGATTTCAGTCTGCAAAGATCTATCAGTTGAGCATATTGCACCTAGAGAGATACATGCATCATATTTTGTTTGTTTTGTTAAGAAAAATAAAGAAAGAAAATAAATGCAAGAAAAATATTCTACTCTTTCTATAAACACATCAGTGCTCATTTTCTCTATATTCTACTTTGGGCCATTTTGTGTAAAATCTTTAATTAAAGTTTTTCTTTGAAATTGTCATCATCAAAGCAGAAGAAAGAAAGTAAAAAACGGAAGGACACAGCTGTGCATATGCGAAGTGCTATTCAGTACCAAATGAATTGGAACAAAATAAGTATCGTGACTGTTATGCTCTTAGTTTTGGCTCTGTATTCTCAGTAGCACAGTCTAACTTGTCACTTTATATTGATTCCATCTGTTTACACTCTGCAGAGTATTGGCTTCCTACGGTGAACATTTCCTATTTACCAGCTGGTAAAGATAGGCCCAAACCAGATAGAAAAGAATTAGACTATTTTCAGATCCTCATAAATGTAAAATCAAAATTAATGGGGGAGGGGAGATAAAAGTAGGGGGAGTGAGGAAGATATACAGCGCCTGAGCCTTGTTCGTATCAATAGCCCTTTTTACTCCCTTTTTAACAATTTTTAAAGACCTTGATCTTTGTGTACTGAGCATACAAAATAAATCAGTCCAGCCCATTTTTACATATCACATTCATGATAAGACTGTTCAGGAAAGTGTTTCAAGACTAGTACTTCAGTAATCTTTAAAGAGAAACATTGGGGTCTCTCTCATACAAGCAGTGAAAGGCTTTCACATAAAATGGATGAGCACACACAGCATAGAGCCATCTTTGTGCTCTGACAAACGGATTTTTTTCATTCTTTCCTTTTCTAACTTGCTGCTGGATTCCTTTCTGAAGGAGACAGCATCATTTGGAGGGACTGTCTCACCTCAGGAGAGTCTTCAGTAGTAACATTTTATTGCTTGCGATTAGAAATGATGGAGGGACTCCCCCAGTCAAAGCTAAATTAAGAGCTTTGCCCGGGTATCTGAAATATTTTCCTAGCTTATCTTTGCTCTTTACTAAGCAGGTAAGATTAACTACAAAGGCAGCAAGGTGTACTTGCCAAAATACAACTGATAACTTTAGTGTTATAAAAGCACTCAAGGACGTGTTTAGATCATTTGATTAAGTGAAGTGTCAGTCTGGCTACGGTGTCTAAGTGCAGCAGAGTGATGAGGAAACCAAGGCTGTCTGTCAGGTCTTGGTTCCCTTATGACTTTTCCCTGACTTACTCTTTTCTTGATCTTGCCCATTACAGTAGTTGTAATGCCTAAATACACATGTACATGCCCTGGTTTATGTGGTAGGAGGTCCAAATATGGCTTCCCTTTTTTCCCCTGCAAGAAGAAAGCTGGTATTCTTTATTTTATTGAGGGCATTAGGAAGTTTTTCTCATTCTCTCTTTCTCTCTCTCTCTTTTGTTTTTTAATGTGCACACACAAATTCACAACTCAATCAAAGTAACTCATATAAATGTATCCTTAACTGATGATGGGCATTCAAATGGAAGCAGAATATGGTTTGGCTTAGCACTAACTGTGATATTTTACAGATGAATATTTATTTCAAAGATTGCATGAGTTCTTAAGTGTATCTGAACAATTATTCGCATATATGATGCACTTATATATCTTGAAATACTTATTCAGCTCAATTGTTGCAGGAATACTTACGTAGTAGTAACCTCACCTCAAGTTTATATTTTCGGTTAATATATTAAAAGTATACATAATAGCTCTATTTCACGATGTCCTTAAAAAACATATTACAGAACCTTGTAAACTAAATGTGCCAGAACTCTAATTAGGACTTTGGAGGATATTTTCGATTCATTAATTCTATAATAAGAAGCTATTTCAGATGTTTCTTTTGTGATAGGAAATGCTTAACATGAAAACGTAAATGTTACTCTTCAGTTAGCTGCATACAGCCAAATGAATAAAAGCTATGACATTAATAATAACTATACCCAGCTATGATTGATAGGCTTTTCTACAGCGAGGAAAGATTGTCTTGGATACAATCTGTCCTAACAGCCTTGCGATATGTTAATATTTTATTCAGACTAGAGTGAGGATATATTCAGATGTCCTTCTCAGCGTAAGGGAAGCAAATGGGTTGCAAACACTACTGCAGCCCTGAGGTGCAATAACAGCTGTGAAATCAGAAAGATTTTATTTCACCCTCCCAAATTACAGGCCAAGTGCATGCCAAGCACAGCAGGAGGTTAGATTTTTCCTTGGAATTTACATCAGGTTATGTTTAATGTATGTTTTTCCTCTATGAAGAGTCTTGGAGTAGAGGCAGCCAACTTGCACAATGCTCTAGAAGGTATGGCATGCTTTCCTGAGGTTCTGGGTCCTTAAAAATCGTAACTATTATCAGGCACCATGTCCGGCATCAGATCAACTTAATTTCAGTAGCTTGAAGAATCAGATGACCGAATACTTTTAAGTAAAAGAATAGAAATGACTAAAATGCCATTCTACTCATACGATAAAATATTTTACACCAGTACTGCAAGCAGGTAAATAATTATAGAAATTGTACCACCATGGAGAATCCGGTTTCTTAAATAAATCAAGCCTCGTTATTTGAGCCAGAAGCATTTAGTAATTGAGAAATAAAATCACAGTGGGACTAAGGCAGTCCTGTGCCAGAGATTTGCTTGACGGCTCGAAATAGAAGAGTGCTTAGGTTTCTGATACTAAAAAGAGATTCTCAGTGCAACTTAGAGCAGAAGCTCCCAAAATACTACTTAGAATCTTAGCATCATTAAGACAAACAGAAACAACAAAATAAAAACAATAACAAAATCCAAATACACCACTATGAGTAGATCTGCATTATGGAATCACGTGGCAGCATCCTTCTAAAGATTTTACTAAATTAATACCAGTATATCAGCAGTACCAAGTATTTATTCTTATATCTGAAGTGAATTATTATACCGGCATTTAGCTGGGATTACCACTCTGGTCAACATACTTTCTCTTTGAGGAGGGACTCCAGTTGACATAATGTCATTGTTTGGCTACTTCGGCCATTGTTCAACCTGAAAATAAGCAGTATCATGAAAAAAAAAAGATTAGATGTACATATAACACAAGTGCATTACCAAGTATTGTTGAATACTACTAAACTGACATCAGTGGGAACTTCGCCTCAGCATGCAAAGAACTACAAACATGAAAGTGGCTCGATCCTGCTTTCATTCTAGCTTTGTTCACAGCCCTGCACCACTCCTGGAGAAAAAGGCCACAAATGTAGATTCCTTGGCAGAATAGAGAAGTGGCAATTGCTCCTCTGCCACAAGCATGATGGCTGTTGATGCAGAATATTTGTGTTCAAGTAGCTTTATTGGATCCTATAGTGGACATGAAGGCCTATTAGCAGCTGGATTTGGCTCTTGCGATGAAGAACATGGGAACCTTGAAGACAGAAAGATTACATTGCCAGTCCTCCCTTTCCGTACTCTCACCAAGCATTTCCTCCAGTAGCAAGAAGCACCTCCCTCTCTCAGCACAAATCTGAGATCCACCCATTATCAGGAACATAATAAAAAATAAATAAATAAATAAATATATATTAACTTGCTTTTGTTTCCTCTTGCCATTGACCAGCGTCAAGCAAGAGCCTTGGTCATTTTCATAGTCAGTTCTTAGCAAAGTTTACATTCACAAGTGGATTTTCCGGATGCTAAATCCTATTCAGTAGATTCAGCCTCAAGTACTTGCTCCTGGAACTTCATTCCTATTTGCATTTGTGTGCTAAAGACCTAAAAGCCAAGCTCTGCTATATTTTCTGTCTCTAAATTCAGGCGAATTGATTGAGTTTTAAACCGCGAGAGAAAGTACCTCTAATAATCCCTCTGACAAACTTCTTCAGAAATACAGCACTTATGCTGTCCTCTAGTGGTAAATATATACATAAACACCTATATTCACAGCAATCCTAACACTGTTTGCTTCCCACCGTTGCACGCATTTTCAGTGACATTCTCTAACAAGCTAGCCAGCCAAAAGACAGCATTTTTTAAGTATGATCCTTACCTTCTAACATTTTAGTGAGTTTAAATGTAAATCAAGGGTAAATCTTACATGTTTCTCTTGAAAGTTAGAGGAAAATAACCCCAAGCATATAATAAGCTTTACCATTTTTATTATTTTCCATGTAATTAAGAAAAGATTAACCTTTTACTTCACGGAGGATTCCTCATTTGTTATTTAATTAGTTTGCACTAATTAATTAGAATTTTTAAGCTCTTCTGTCTCTCAGAGAGAGTGGCTTATGTCCCTTCCTTCTGCTTTTCTTTTGCTGCTCCTCTTCCTCCTCTAGCCTCCTTTCAAAGTCCTAATCCCATTTTTGTATCCTCAGCAAAACACTCTT